TCTAGAAGGATTCATAAAAATGCTACCAGCTGCTATTAAATAAAATGTTCTTTACATAAAATAAATACTTGCCTATATATTAAAGAACTATACATTTCACTTTTATATAAAAAAAGTGTTTCAATTTGCTTATTGCTGAATCATTAATATGGAAAAGATTATAACTTGTATCAAGGTTATTGGCTACAGATTGTTAATTTAAGACACTGTTTTAAATATTATATTAAAATTAAGGCGTATCAAGGTCATGTTACTTCCAAAGGGCAACAAAAACATTCTATCTTTCAGATCAACACAAATCATTGCATATTGATAGAAAAAAGATTATTAGCTCTTGTTAAATCAATAGGCATATTTTAAAAGGATAGGGGTTTTGATTTTTAGTCTTTAAGAACATAAAGAATATTGCTTTTTTGCACAAAGACCTTTTAAATTTTTTAAATTTTTGATGTTGAAATTATTGATGCGTTTAGATATTTTATCTATGTATTGGTAAGTAATTAATTTAATTCAATAATGTACTAAAATAAACAATAAATATCTTTGTGACAGCTTTTTTGGAAACTATTCAAGTAACAGAAGCAATAGCAAAAGAAGACGGTACAAATATCTGGCTTTTTGAGGATATACAAAAAAAATTAGCCATTAAAAATAAACATTCAAAATGAAAAAATAATTTTTGTTTATTTTACCAAATAAAACATTTTGATAAATAAAAATATTAGAAATATATTTAAAATTACTCATTAATTAATAAATAAATGTACCAAATTAGTAAAAAATCTTAATTTAGTATTTCGTTTAAACAGTAAAAGGTTTAAAATGTAGAACTTCTGTTTTAAGAACGATTTCTTTCTAGAGTGTTTACTTTTACTTCGGCCAGGGATTCTCTGATCGTATTAGTGTATACTCTAGTAATGCTATTTACAAATTCGACGCTATGGTTTATTGTTTTATGTGTATAGACCAATTCACTAACGCCTCTGTAGCCTTCCCAACAATCAGTGTATATAATAGATCCTTTAAGACATATTCATCTATAATTTTCAGTAATGTCTCTATCCTTAAAAATGACTTCTAACATAAATTTTCGTTCTTTTGTTTTTTAACCACACCCCAAAACCCAGATGCCTTCTATCTTATGTCCTTTGTTATACTTTCGGCGATCAAATTTTGATTCATCTATTCTAGCAATTAAACGTAGACCTCACATTTTGCAGGTCAAATTAACATGTCTACCACTGTGCTTTAAAATTCTATAGATAATATTTTTTCCTTAACCAGATAGTAATCTAATTAATTTAGAACTAGAATTTAGTAATAATAAAAATAAAATTTCAGAAATGTGCTGCTATGGGAACTTTAAATAAAAAATATCTTCTTTTTCGTTACATCATCCTACCTCTATATTCTTTTTCTTACGCAGCTTACTTTACTTTATATATATTTTTTACGCTGCCTAAATTGACTGAACATTTTTGACAAAGTCTACTTGTTACTATATTTGAGTAGAAATTATCAAATATTTCACTAGCATTTTTAAGATTTTAATACATTTTAAGGGTTAACCAAAAAATATATAATGTTATATATTTGTATAATTTTTACCCCTATGTCGCATCCTTGAAAAAGGATACCGAACTTAAAATGATTTTCTAAAATACTTTAAATTAAAAACGCTTTAGTATGAGACCGTTTTTCTTAAACTGAACATAAGGGTATTTTTGTACTTCTTCCTTTTATTCATTCTTATTGGGGTTAAAAAGAATAAAATATTTATAAGAATAAATTATTAAAATAATTTAGGTATGTAGTAAGAATACTACAACCCAATAAAATAAACTATAATATATAATTAAAATTTAAAGAAAGCTTATTTAAATCTTTACAAAAGCAAAAGATAGAATAAAAAACATATTTCTTTAAATTTTATTAATTTAAATGTCATTTTATTGTAAAATAAACAAAAATATTTTTGATCTTTTTTTCATTTTTGATGTTTATTTTTGGGGGCTAATTTTTTTTTGTATACCCTCAAAGAAGCCCCTGATCGTATTCTTTAGCCTAGCAAAAAAATGTTTTACATAAAAGCAAGTTTTCAATTTTATTAGATAAAAAAAAGCTTTTAGTACCAAGCATTTTTGTTTCACATTTCATTGTGTGAAATTACATATTTATAAATTAATTAAATACTAAAATATATAGGTTTTTACAAGTAAATTCATTTTCTTGTGCTAATAAAATGATTTTAAAAACTTTTATTATTAATTTCTCCTTTTTTAAAATCACCTCTCAATTTTAACAGTCTGCTATAAAAAGAACAAACTTTCTTTTTGACACCAATTAATAACTTTTGAATTTTATAAGGGTAATATTTGTCACGACGAAAAAAACTATTATCAATCACTTGTAAAATCGTCAAGGTGTGTATTAAAAATTAATATTTTTTGTAAAATGTCATCATACAAGCTAAATTTATCACATGCTAGATCCAATGATTCTATAAAATCATGCATTGATTTTTGCTTCGTCTTTATATAAATTCCACATATAGTTTCTAAAAAACTTGAAAGACTGGTTAAAGGAAGAATTGCTTTGTGCTTAAAGTCATTAGATAAAGGATATATTTTAAGTTTTTTCATAAATTGTGGTATTTTTTTTTTAATGATCGGTTTACAAAATTCTCTCATAATATATTCATTGGTTTTATACCAATTAAAAAGTTTACGCTCATTAGCTGTAAATTGATAATAAAAAAGAAAATTATCATTATTTCTTTTTATTTTAGATTTCAAAGCTTTTTCACTGCCATTTGTTTGTATATTAGATACTTTGCTAGTTTTAAATTTTGTCCTTTTATCTTCCACGTTGTTATCATTTTTGTAAACGCTATTTAAAAAAGAACTAGTTTCAGAATTCATAGTCATTAATGAATTATAACAACCAAATTGTGTATTTATAAGAGAATTATTTGGTTTATTTATATAATTAGTTCTTATGTTATGCATATGGTAATCTGATATATCATGATCACTTGTCTGTAAAAAAGCGATATTTTCTGGATTGGCAAATTGTCCTTGTAATAAATCAT